CTTTGTGCCAAAATGCAAGACCTCTAAGTGCCACAGAGACTTTAAAGCTCTCCTTGACAAGGGCTGAATTAACAGTAATGTTAGGTTCATGAAGCCCAATAAAATATTTTTGTTGTGACCATTGATTAAAAATGAAAATAAATCTTTCTGGGACTGTACAGCACTCTGTCAGTTGAGAGTCCTATGATGGGAACAAGGCATTTTATGGAGGCCTTTCAGTGTATTGTAGCAAAAGGTCACATTCTTCAAGGTTTTGCCTTGTAGGGCTAAATTTCAAGGTACCTGCCCTCTATTGTTCTTGAAGACAACAATTAGCACTGTTTACCATCATAACACTTGAGAAATGCAAAGTGAGCTGTACTATTTGTAGGTGCAGAGATTTTAGTTGAATTTATTGCCTGTTTGCTGTAATGAAGGACCAGTGTGCCCAGTTGTGCTAACATTCTCTACAGGCTAAGTCACGGCTTGCTGTGTTTCTGTGATTCCAGCTACCGAGCTCAAAATATAGAGGTGGAGCAGACAAAAGACCTATTGATTCGAGCTTGGTTTTCTCCATCTTTCAAGGGAAGGCATGCTATTTATTGTCTGCACAGTAAGGGAGGATGGAACCTTTTTTGTTGATAACCATGAAGAGTTAATTTTTAGTGAGTTTTTAAAGGCTATAGGCTAATTTTTTTAACAAAGTATTGCTTATTAATTTAATATTCAGGATGTTGACTGACTACCAACTAGTGGATCTATTGTTGCTGATGAAACCTGTTACCATTTTACTTTTTGATTTTCAGTGACTCTAGGATCTGTTTGCTGACTCTGCACCGTACGAAAGTTTGATGGCGTTTCTCAGGAATTGTACTTGATATTAATAAATCCCAGACCTCTTGGGAAAACCTTAGGGCTCGAGAATGAGAACAGAGAAGTTGGATAAGGAAGTAACGTCACTTACTTGCATGGATTTTTGTGCTGCTTGTGACAGGACAGGTGTGGTCTGTCCTTCGGTATTGTGCAGGAAAATGGCTCAGAAAATTTGTGCTGATGCCTGTTGAAAGGCAGGAATTGGAAACAAAATAGTCTGCCTGGTCCCTCTCATAATTATGAGAGTGAAGCTGAAAGTGGATATAAAAGAGTAATACAAAAGTTACCAGGGAAAAAAGCATTTACAGCAAATCCCATTAAATTAATTGCAGCAGTTACTTGAGCTCAGGAAGCTTTGAATTCGGAAGGTTTTCCATCAAGGGAGCTTGCAACTTTATACTGTGAATGAGCTTTAAGTACTTCTATTACTTGTTTTCACCCAATAGAAAGAAATAAATTTGGTTGGTTGGTTGGTTGGTTTTTTTTTTGTTTAAGATAATGCTTGTGAGAACCAACCACTGTTAAACCACATTTTACGCTGTAACCACTCGGTTTTAACCGAGTTACAGCGTAAAATGAAGCCACCGAAGCTTATGAGGCAAATATTGTTTGTGTTCAAACCCATTTTGGAGAACGGAGCTGACCTTTTATCTTCACAGAGTATTTCTGACTAAGGGATTCTGTGTGCTTTGGCTGTCTTGAGGTTAAAAGGGCAAGTCCATACTGAATTCTGTCAAACAAAAGACTGTTTATGTTTTTATTGTGCTTTTGGAAAGCCCGTTTTTCTGTTTTTAGCTGAACCTGAAATTTTATCCAGTACTGATCAGGAGTTACGTCCCTGCTTCTTTCTTGCCATTTGTGCCTGCTGCCGCTATCTGGACCTACAATACCCCAAGAGTAGGCTTAGTGCAGTTAGAAGTGTGCCTGCATTTTATAGAGATAAGCTGGACTAATCTTAGGCAGGTAGCTTGAGTTTTAGCAGCATAGGAGCTGAATAGGTTTTTGGGAGGCCAGCTCGCCCTAAACGCAGAGCTGTCATAGCAGCGTTGCTGTTGGTGCCCAAACTGGGGGGTTGAAGCAAGCTCAGATTTACTGGGCTGAGTGGCACTCACACCCCTTGCAGCTGTGTAACCATGGTCGGATACAGATCCTGTGCGTGGACAGCTCCAAGTGGGATTCTAAGGAAGCTCTGTGTGTTGGGAAGTCTAGGCTTGCTTCCCTGCTCATTTGCTTATCAGATGGAAGAATTCAAATGTGACTGGGTTTCTTGCTGCCTGCATAAAAGAAGAAAGCATCTGGTCGTTTCTTTTTGTGCCCTTGCAGCTGTGTAACCATGGTCGGATACAGATCCTGTGCGTGGACAGCTCCAAGTGGGATTCTAAGGAAGCTCTGTGTGTTGGGAAGTCTAGGCTTGCTTCCCTGCTCATTTGCTTATCAGATGGAAGAATTCAAATGTGACTCGGTTTCTTGCTGCCTGCATAAAAGAGGAAAGCATCTGGTCGTTTCTTTTTGTGTTTTTTGTTTTAAAGCAACAACTCTTTTATTAAGTACTTTATCAGGTAGAATTGAAATAATTGAAACAAAACCAAGATCAGTTGATTCATGAAAATAAACCCAAGCAGGAGCCTGTATTATCAAGATAAGAGTCCCTGTTAATTGTGCCCCCCTTGTCACAGCTGTATTTCAGGTGCGGGGGATAGAGCAGTCAAATATAAATTAGATTTCTTGATTCTTTTCATTTATTGCTCAGGTAGCCTCAGTTAGATTAAAGCTACGTGCAGGATGACAGCTGTGTTCTAAAACTCAAACAATCTGCTGTGGTTGTGTGTGAATGTACGTACACATACATAAATGTACACAGAGAGCATACTGGTATGGTTTTCTTAGATACAGGATTTTCTAGGTATTAGTGTCACAATATCTGTCTACCTAACAAATCGTAGTTTTGACCTCACGCGCTTACTTGCTAGCTCAGACACTGTGATGGTGCTGGATTTTGCACGTGCTGGAATGCCTACGTCTTCCATTGGCTTCAGGTAGAACTGTAGGTGTTGAGAACATTTGAACATTAGTTTATCAAATGGAAGCATGAAAATTAGAGGCAAGCTACGGAGCAGTTCACGTAGATGTTTGGCACGCAAGGCATTAGAGTTTCCAGTATATTCTTTCCTAAAAGTTTTTTCCAAGGATCTACTCATGTGAAAGAGATGATTCCTTAAAATGTATTTATCGTCTTACATAATGCGGTAAAGGTTCCATATCCACAGTCCTTGTTTGCATTTTTGTCATTAGAAACTTTAGTTTGCTGGAACTCTTCTTTATGGCAACTTTCACAAAGCGTAAAAAGATGTTTGGAATCCAACAGTGGTTTTAATTTTATAGAATGTGCTGATTTGTACTTAAAAAGCTGATAAGAGGTGAGGGGGTTGTGGTTCAAGCTCTTAATTTCCATTTAGTAGTAGTACGTGTTTTAATATGTCACCATGCAGTGCAGTCACCTAGGAATATTTTTTCAAAATGTCATTACTCTGCTTCTTTTAAATGACTGTCTGTGCAGCAACTGTGCAGAATGAACTCAGCCCTACTTCCTTTGCCTTCTGTTGTCAGTGTTTCTCTTCTTTGCCCTGACAGTTTAGGCTGTAATATCTTAAAAGTGATTTCCCCCCACACCCCCCCCCTCATTCTACGCAGACCAATGTAGTGATCATTTTATCTGATGAATTTGATGGATTATTTGTAAAGTGAAATGTTATTTACAGTGAAATATAATACAAAATAGTATGTTTTCAGGATAGAAATTTAAACAATAAACTGTTTATTGAGAATTGAACTGCTTTGTAGTAACCAAGAAACTTCACTGATTTGTGGTTTTTGTTCTGAATTACTCCTCAGTACTGAGAAAAATGTAATTTTAATAGACAAAGTTAATGAATTTAATACAAAACTGGAGAGGTTCAAAACTCAAATATAACGTGGTACTCCCAGTGGGAAATATGTTCATATTTCAGACAGTGTTAGGATTTTTTGGTACACCTAAACCTCCTTCATGAAAACTCACTCAAAAGAGTTGTTTCAGTACCTTATTTCTTATTGTAAAGATGAGCTCATAAACGTTTTTACTGTCAGTATCTGTGTCAAACTCTGCTTTCTGAACAAAAAATAGAGTATTAAATAGATGTGTCAGCACTCTGTTAGCCCCACTGGGACACGATGCATCTTTACAAATACGTAAGTGCTGACTAAACAAATTCATTATATCTGAAGCAACTGTATGTTGGACTTTACCAAGCACATGTGAAAGAAATTAATAGTTTTTCCATTTCTGGTTGTGTTACAGATGTGATGGAAAGCCAGACTTAGCTACGCAGGAGTAGTCGCTTCGAGAAGTACCTCCTTGCCCACACAGCTGTTTAAATAAACAGGGCTGCTTATGAAAAGTGAAAATTGACAGGAGAAAGTGTACAACTTTTAAAAACGAGATGCTTAAGCATAGTATATAGATATAGTAAATAGAGATTTATTTTGGCAACCTTACTGTGAATGGGTTTGAGCTCTGTTTCTGGGCATGATTCACAGGTTTGGAATATAATCAGGCTAGAGCTTACACCTATTTGCTTACTTTATATTAACATGGCTTCCAGTTTGTACGAGTCTGTTCCTAAGGATACATTAACAGCAGCAGCTGGAAAGTAAAGTTTTAAATATGCTAAAGGTATAGAGAAAGGTCTACCAAATATTTATGAATTTAGATCAAAGTGGATATGATGACTAAGTGTTTCAGGCAGTTTTTAGTCTCGGCCATAAATTTCATGTGCGATGCTTTACTGTTACCCATTTAAAATTATGGCCAACTGCTGATCAATGCTTAGGCATTTTTTTCTGTCACCTCCAGGAAAGATGTCTAGAGACCGGGCTCTGAGGAAGCAGCAGCAATTGAATAATTTGGTAGCAGCGGTGACAAAGCTGGCTAAGCCTGGAGATGTGATTGTGGATTTTTGCAGCGGAGGGGTAATGTATATTTTTCTTTACATTACGCAGTTTCTTTCAGCTTTCATCTTTGCAGTGCTAAGTGGTGGCTGCCACAAAGTAAAACAAAAGTTCAAATGCTGAAATTTTAGCTGCTTTCAAAGGTTCTGTCACTGGTTAGGGAATGTTCATCATGTAATGAGTCAACAACAAGGACACTGAAAAATCACTCAGATTTTATTGTTTGTTTTTTGTTTTCACAGGGCCATGTTGGAATTGTTCTTGCTCACATGATGCCATCATGTCAGGTAAATTCTAAATATAAAGTACAGATCATATGAGCTTTTGGTCTCTGATGATCATCTTAGAAAGATATGTGTGTAGGAGAATAGATATGAAGACGCAATTGTCTCAGCAGAGGACTTAGATTTGAAACATGCAAAATTTTAGCATAATCCCAAATGTACTTGCCTGAGAAAACAAAAACTCTAAGAATATATACAATATTTGCAAGCTGATTGATATTAGCAAGTATTAAATGTTTTCTGTTGTTGTTGGGTTTCCTGTTAATCATTTTGGAGATCTCGGGCTCTGCCACATGTAATTTAGAAGTTTTCTCAGCTAAACTACAAAGTTTTGTGCTTGTTAGTAATGGTGTACTTTGATTTCTCATTATTATTTTTGCCTTACATTCTCCTATGTATGAAATCTAGGTGGTGCTCATAGAAAATAAGGAGTTGTCTCTGATCCGTGCTAAAGATAGAAGTGATGAACTAGGTTTAAACAACATTTGGTTCATTCAAGCAAATTTGGACTATTTTAAGGGAACTTTTAATATTGGGGTAAGTGATTGTAACTTTTCCACTTCAGAACTTCAGTGTCTGGTTAATTACTCTTAAAACAACTAAAATATCTGAGAAAATAAAATTCTGTGTGTCCTTACAGACAGGTATTTTTTATGCTATGAAAAGCAACCTTGTTGTTACAACCTGTGTTAAGTTAGTTTTGTATTTATTATTTGTTGCAAATTGGCATCACTTTTATATTACACGAGTGAAGAAAGAAATGTCTGCTCCAATCAAATGCAAGATAGGAGTGCTGCCTGACTATGTTGAAGAAAAAATGGGGTAGATTCTTGGTTTCATCATGTTACTTTAAAATCAGTGATTTGTTAATGGATATACTCTGGAGAAGATTTCGAAGATGGGAAAAGAAGACTACTGTTGCTCAAGTAAAGCCTGAGTACAGCAAAGTGAGATCAGAAGTGTGGTTAGGTGACAGTAAAGCATTTTAAGATAAAGCAAACAACTCAAGAATACATGATGCAAAACTGAGAAGGAACTATCTTGACAGGGAGATTGTCGTACTAATGATATACATGTGTGTTCATCGTGTAGAGTGTACTCAAGACCAGTTGTTCTCAGGGTACCCAGCCTGCTGAGCTGTAAGACAGGGAGGGGGAGCAGAATGAAGCCCCCATAATCCAAGGGGAAATGGTTAGCGACCTGCTACACCACTTAGACACACACAAGTCTATGGTGCTGGATGGGATCCATGCATGGGTACTGAGGGAGCTGACGGAGGTGCTCACCAAGCCACTTTCCATTGTTTATCAGCAGTTTTGCCTAATCAGGGAGGTCCTGGTTGACTGGAAGTTAGGAAATGTGATGCCCATCTACAAGAAGGGCTGGAAGGAGTATTCAGGGAACTGCAGGCCTGTCAGAATTTGGTGCTGGGAAAGGTTATGGAGCAGATTGTCTTGAGTGCCATCACATGCCAGGCCCAGTCAGCATGGGTTTATGAAAGGCAGGTCCTGCTTGGCTAGCCTGGTCTCCTTCTATGACAAGGTGACCTGCTTAGTGGATGAGGGAAATGCTGTGGATGTTATTTACTTGTACTTTAGTAATGCTTTTGACAAAGTTTTCCACAGCACTCTTTTGGAGAAACTGGCTGCTCAAGGCTTGGATGGGTGTACTCTTAGCTGGGTAAAAAACTGGCTGGGTGGCCGTGCCCAAAGAGTTGTGGTGAATGGTGTTAAATCCAGTTGACAGCTGGTCACAAGTGATGTTCTCCAGAGCTCAGTACTGGGGCCAGTTCTGTTTAATATCTTTATCAGTGATCTGGACAAGGGGATCAAGTGCACCCTCAGTAAGCTTGCAGATGACACCAAGTTGGGTGGGTGTGTTGATCTGCTTGAGGGAAGGAAGATTCTGTAGAGAAGGATCTGGACAGGCTGGATTGATGGGCCAAGGGCAATGATACAAGTTTCAACAAGGCTAGGTGTCAGATCCTGCAGCTGGGTCACAACAACCCAATGCAATGCAACAGGCTTGGCGCAGAGTGTCTGGGAAGCTGCCCGGCGGAGAAGGACCTGGTGCTTTAGGTTGACAGCTGGCTGAATAGGAGCCAGCAGTGTGCCCAGGTGGCCAAGAAGGCCAATAGCATAGAATCGTAGAATGGTTCGGGTTGGAAGGGACCTCAAAGATCAACTAGTTCCAACCTCCGTGCCATGGGCAGGGAAACCCTCCACTACACCAGGTTGCCCAAAGCCTCATCCAACCTGGCCTTGAACACTTCCAGGGATGGGGCATCTACAGTTTCTCTGTGCAACCTGTTCCAGTGCCTCACCACCCTCTGAGTGAAAAATTTCTTCCTTATATCTAATCTAAATCTGCCCTCTTTCAGTTTAAAGCCATTGCCCCTTGTCCTATCACTACACGCCCTTGTCAGAAGCCCCTCTCCAGCTTTCCTGTAGGCCCCCTTTAGGGACTGGAAGGCTGCAATAAGATCACCCCGGAGCCTTCTCTTCTCCAGGCTGAACAGCCCCAACTCTCTCAGCCTGTCTTCATAGCAGAGGTGCTCCAGCCCTCGGATCATCTTCGTGTCTCTCCCCTGGACCCCTATGGCAGGGGGTTGGAACTAGATGTTCTTTAAGGACCTTTCCAACCATTCTATGATTCTATATGGGAGAGGAATGAAAAACTGAGGAACAAAGGACCAGGCCTTTGGCATAACAGTTTTCGCTGCAAAAACTTCCTCGTGTGTTTAAGTAACTCAGTCAACCAAAAAAAAAAAATACTGCAACAGAATTGTACGTAGAATATTTCTCTAAAGAATTTGCTTGCATCTTTATTTTTTGTTTTTAACACTGTAGGTGGCTCTTCACGCGTGTGGTGTGGCAACAGACATGGTGATCGAGCACTGCATCAAGGCACGAGCAGCCTTTGTCATCTCCCCTTGCTGTTATGGCTTCATTCAAAACACAGTGAAGTTTAAATATCCACGGAGGTAAACTGAAGCTAACGAGATAGACGTTAAAATATCAACTGAAATGAAGGAAGAAAATACTAAAAAGAGTATAGAATTAATCAACTGAAGATCATTGCAAGCACCCAGGCTAAACTGGTTCAGTTCTAATGCAACTGTTTCCTCCTGTTTTACTTTGCAAACCCATCCTGAAAGGGAGACAGATTGGTAATTCCTGGGTTGTTTTTTTTCTGGATTTGTCCGTTCATAGTTTTGAAGACTTTATACCATCAGTATAGTAGTGCAGTATGTGGGGATCTATGTAATACACAGACCTTTTACCTTGAAACCACAGACATCATAGAAAACTTATGAAAATTACTATAAGAGAGGGAATTCACATTTTAATGTTGGCGAAGGATGTAAGCAATCAGCTAAAAGACATGGGGTTTGCTTTATACCGCAGTTTACTGCTTGTGAAACTCTTCTGATTTTTTCCCAAGTAGACAAGCTCTCCTGTATTTCAGTTCATATTTTTAATACTTTTTCAATGGAATGTGTAGATATTTTGTCTTCTTTTAATCTGCCATGTTGGAGAGGTGCCCTGGAGCTGTTCAAGGCCAGGTTAGATGAGGCTTTGGGCAACCTGATGTAATGGAGGATTTCCCTGCCCATGGCAGGGGGGTTGGAACTAGATGATCTTTGAGGTCCCTTCCAACCCAAACCATTCTATGATTCTATGAATTATATATTTTAGGCTTAAGAATTTTGGTGCCTTGATATAAATAGAATGTAAAAGGTAAGCGTAAAATGGCAGAACATAAGAGGCTAACAACTTTTTGAGGCAGAACTAGATAGAGGAAGAGGGTTGTGGTTTTTTTTTATACAGCTGAGCTTTGCATTTTGGATGTCCAAGATGAATCCGATTTAATTCTGCTAGGAATTAGAACATTGTCTTAGGTATAGATTTGCTGAAATAAGAAACTGAAACATGCTGTCTTAAAAGGAATCAACAAATCTAAAAAACCTTTATGCATCCATGTTAAATATTTTTCATATTTTTCTATAATATCAAAGCATACTGTTAGAAAATTGCGTGGAGAGTAAACAGAATTTGTTAGTTCGATAAACTTTGCATTTAACAGCATTTCTTAGTCAATTTGATTCTTCCATCTCTTTGTGTGTGCCCCTTTTTGTCTTCTCTTGTGACTCAGTAAAACAAATAAGTATTCTTAAGGAAGAGGCAGTAAAATTTTAAGCCTTCTAAAGTTAGCAGGCTTATAGCTTTTCTCTGTTCACTTCTTTTAAAATTGACTGGATACTGTTTGATAACTTTTCATAACTTTTGACCAGTTATGTTTTTAGATCATGAAGACTGGAAATGCTCACTGCGTTAGGAAACTTTTGTTGCTGTAGATGCTGCAAGGCTGTGAATTATAGTTTTGTGTTTGCTAAAATTTTGAATCCAGCATCATAAGCCTATGTAGAAAATTGTTTGGTTCATAACATACCAACCCTAGCTCAAGCTACATTTTAGAGTTTGCTTTTTCTTTTTTCCTTGTTTTATATGATCATAAAACACGATAGCCTGCCCATATCCCCATATTACCTGTGTTCTGCACTCAATTCCATTGTAGTGGCACCTTACTTTTATGATGCAAACAAAATATAATATAAATATTATATATAAATATAATATGAACATATCATATAAACTGTTTATATGACAATGTGGAAACACCAGTAAATCTGTGTTAGCATGTATAATGATATAAATAGATAATTTTTAGGAATAAAGCAATAGGAAAAAAAAAGACGACTCTAAATATGCTTTTCCTTTTCTAGTGAACTGGAACTGTAATGGTTTCTGGTTTTTTTGAATGCCTTTCTGTAGGATACAGATATTGCTATTTTTTTAAAATGTGTTCGAGTATGTAGTGATTGCTTCTATTTTCCACTGCTACTTTTTTAGATGTTAATTGAATTAATCTTTTTTTTTTTTTTTTCAGTCATCAGTTCAAAGATATTTTGTCCTACAAGGTATGTAAAAGGGTTGGGGGCAGGGGAGAGGGTTATGTGCAGATTCTTGCATTTCACTGGGTCTTCTTATCAAATGAAATATAAGCAGTAATCTTTTAATTGCAAGGAGGAGCGTGTGTTATGTGAAATGTTCATTAGTAGTGCACATGTCATTCTGTTACTTTCTTTGCACCATCCATTTGTTAAGGCTTTTTTCTTCAATACAATTAAATAGTTTCTCCACAAAAGAACTTTGTTAATCATAATGTATAAGCGAGCCATTCCTAAGATACTTCGACATCCATCAGATAACAATTACAGGATACCAATTTATTTAGGTGTTAAAATACAACTGTTTATACAGTGGAAATGTCTGACCATGTTTTAGGTAAAATTATTGCTTTTATAGGTATTTTCTGATAAATTAGAATTAGATCTAATTAGAATTAGATTTCTCCCTCTAACTTACGTCTAGAAGATTTGCCATAGTGAGTAGGAAGAGCTTATACTCATCAGCAAGAATTTTATACAGTATTGTTTTAACAATGTTATTCAAAATCGTTTCAGAAATATTCAAATGTGTTTTGACCCTGGGGAGCCAGGGTCTGCGTGGAGATAGTCTGAGAGAAAAGTGGGAGAAAGAATCAATGAGGCACGCAGATCCACAGGATGATAACAGATAGCAGGGGAGTGGAAAAGGACAAAAGCAGAGAGATGGGCAGGAGACGACTGGTACTGATCTGTTAATCTTTGTCTGGTACATTTAAACTACTTAGTGATGAGCAACCAGAAATTTGAAGGTTAAAAGCACTTAATGTGGCATGGAAAGAAAATGTTTCCATTTGAGAGAAGCAAGGTTATATAGAAACTTTACTAAGTTTACGTGCCAAATACCATACTAGACAAGGGTCTTGGTGTTTACAATATAGAAAATGAGTTTTGGTGATGCACAATAATTCTTTGTAACAGAAATATGAGAGAGACGGTATTTTGAATATACATATTTTTGGGGGACAGTAGCATAGCAAAGGTGCGATACGTAGCAGGAAAACAGAGATTATCCTTTTTAATCCTCAAGAAAGAGAGCATTTTAAAAATTCAGAAAATTTTCAGCCATCTTCTGTAGGGAAGTTCAATTATCTGGTCATACACCAGTCTTATCTTCATGACGGTCTGGTTTCTGTACACTTTACTAATTTACATGGAAATAAATGTCCACAGATTGAGATTATTAAAGTGGCAGAGTGGATTTGGACCTGCCAGTATTTTTTCCCGTCATTTAACATTCTTTTCAACACATTTATCCGTTTCTCAGCCATAATCACGAAGAACTCCACTTTCAGTTCAGAAAAAGTTTATTTATTTGCTAACATACTGTTAAAAGTAGACCTGTTAACAGTAGAGAGGGACGTGATGAGAATTATAAAGTTAAGAATGCCTTGATTAGGATAGCGTGTATAATCTCATTAAAACTTGGTGATTTTTTTTTCTTGATCTGTTAATCCATGGAGGTTTAAATCACAGGGTTTATCAATGCTATAGAGGTTCCAGCATTTTGTTTTTTGTGTTGCGCAAGAGCACAGGGGCCAAGGACAATGCAAAAAAAATATTGCTGCTTTTAATAATGTAAGAGTCTGTACAAACGGTCTAGGCTGGTTGGTGCCTCAGATAATCCTAGTTATAAATAACTTCTGTTATACAGCTAGCTATATGCATTTTTGTATCTCATATTAATAAATTTTTACAGGTTATTGGCTAGTAGCCAGAGCTGCCATGTGTTAGCCAGACATTGCCTGTGTCACCCCCCGCTCCGGATCCCATTTTAAATTCATTTCTCTTATCTTTCATTTTAGTGAGATCTAAAAAGACATCCAGAAGTCTGGCAATTCCAAAACTTTTATGATGAGAATATTATGCTGTAATTCATTATCTTATAGCAAGGAAGAATAAGGTTATGATAGCTGTAGATTTCTACTATGATACGTTTTGAGACTCTCTTTGTCAAGACACTCTCCTTTTAGGAGAACTGGAAAGTAAAACCAAGTAACTTTGCACATGCAGCTTTGAGAACTTAATAGGAATTGAAGGTGTGGATGTTCTAGGAAGCAAGTTAACTGTTTATGCACACACAAAGTTTGGGCAGTTTATAATTACTACCTTCATTGTTTCAGAAATGCTTTTCGTATTTCTGCCAACAGGGAATGTGACAATTTAATGACTGTGTTATGGGGAAATGAGGTAGTCATAACAGGCTCATGTTTAACTTTTTGGATCATCTCTGTAAGAAGCCAAGGCATTAGAGTCCGTCCACATTTTCAGGTCTTATAAGTGGTGAGGCTGCCTTCCCTCTCATCTAGTCAGATGAGCTGAAAACCTGGTGTTGCAAAGAGCCGGGTTGTGTTGGGTGCCTGAAGGCTAGTGGGGCTTCTGTGCTAATCTGGATCTTCTCCCTCTCCTCTGAATCCCTCTTTTTCTCCCCAAGCTGCCTATCACTGCTGCTTCTCTCCCAACAGCAACCTCATTGCCTGTGGCTCTCCTCCTCAGCCATTCTCCAGTAGTCACATCTGAGTTTAACCTTTTCAGCTCTTTGGTACTGCAAAAATAGCCACATCTGAAATGAACCGACTGGGCAGAACATGTTTAGGACTTAACATATGTAACGTTCTCATTTTGCTTGCTGAAACCTTCATGTGAATGAGCTGTACTAGGGAACAAATATCCCTACCTCAGGATACTGTAAATTTATTTAAATGAGTAATATTTGAATATCAAGTAATAATATTACTTGATACTCAAATATTTTGTTTTATAATACGTGAGGAAACTTTTTTATGGTCAAGTGTCTGTTAAATTTATGAATTGGATGGAGCGTACTGTGGAGGGAGTTGTCATCTTGATTTACTATGAAGATGGGATTTCATTCAGTTTTTTTGTGAAATGAAGGCAAATGAGGATGGGGTTCTGCCTGCTTGTGTAGTGATCTAAGCGGGGAGTAAGGTGGTGGGGCTAACTCTCCACTGCACCATACCCCTGGCTGACAAGACAGGAAGAAATGAACAGCAGCTGTTGTGGAAGCCTCTGCAGAAACTTGAAGTGGAACAGGGATAGTTTAGAAGTAAATTGTGCTTATTTTGATGTAGGAAACTTTCTTGTTCACAGCCAGGTATTTTTTGCTTTCAGGATCTTTTGGGTTGATCCTGAATGGATCTGGCAGAGCAGAGGCAGCTTGACTCACAAGGAGATTCTTCTGGGATTCAAAATCACTGCTTGGGAGAAATGTGCAGTAGTTCCAATCACCTGTTTTAAGAATTTTATCTTGGCCACTTATTGATGTGGACATGCTGCCCTATGATGACTGTGCTAAAAGAAGGCTGTATTGCTCATCAGTAATTGATGGCAAAATTAGTCTGCAGTATGTCTTTGAAGAGTGCTATCTTCTATACGTTGCATCTCATTCAACTGCTGCAGAGAAGTAGAGAAAATTTAGCAAGAAACAAATACTCATGAGTAGAAACGTGGTCGTGGTTACAAACACTTGATTTACACACATTTACAAACCAAAGCAGTATCAAAACTAGGATTTGCACACAGATAATTCTTCTAGAAATATGATCCTCAACATGATAGCATTTTTGATACTTTTAATAATTTAATTAGTTTTTTCTTTCTTTATTTGGAAGAGGGAAATGCTACTAGACCTAATTTCTTTACTTTTTTTTTTGTTCTAGGAGCACATGATCCTTTGCAGATTTGCAGATCAGACAGCTGTCCAGCTTCCACCTGAACGCAGGCTAATTGGTATGAATTTCGGCAGCTGTTGTGTAACTATCTCAGTAATGTGTTTACCTTGATATATCAAAGAAGAAGTAGGACATTGATGAACAGGGCATTAAGTTGCTGTCTTCACATAACACTTGAAAAATTTGAGTTTCTTCACATTTTGCCTCTTACTGTTCTGAACTATGGTATAGAAACTCTTTTCTTCCTTCAGAATTTTCAATATGAGGTAGAGAGGTTTGCATTTTACTGATTTTTGCTGCTTCACTTTTTTTTTTTTTCTCTCTTATCATTCTCTGAAAAGAATGAGGTCTTTGTAAAGTTTGCTAAGGTCCTGCTATTGCCGGTTTATCTTACATTAAAGGCACAGGCTATCCATAGTAGTGATTTTCAGCGTGCACCCTTTGTCCTGCTTGTAACCGCTGGTGATAACTCTCTTAGAAGGACAAACATCTCATGCCAGCTGGAAACAATAAGGCTAAGTTGCAGATGCTGGGCTAGCTTTGGTACAGGCAAGCTTAGGAACTTACAGACCTATTTGGCCCACCTCATTATTAGGATCATCATCTTAATTTTAGAAAAAAAAAAAACAAACAGAAGGTTTTCTGGGATTTTTTTTTTCCTTTTAAGTAGTGAATAATATTTATAATCTGAAGACCTTGCCAAGAACACAGTTTGGCTTACTGTTTACCTGGGGTACCAGCCTTCCCGTTGTGGGGAAACTTACATTATAGCTACAGCAGTTCATGACTCAATTTTTACCTTTCAGTAGTCATTGCTGTTCTGAAATTCCTGTGCAATTAACAGCCAAAGTCAGTTGATCCCTGAGATTTTAATTTCTTGGTTGGGTGTCAATGGTTTCTGAGGAAAAGAAATCCGAGAAGCTATCATTAAGATCGTGGGAATTTCATTACTCAGAAGGACAGCAAAATATGTAACACGTCAAATATTTGAAATAAGCAAAGCTATTTCTTCATTAAGTGCAGTATTCTAGTATTCTTTGACATAATAAAGGTTATAATGTGCTTCTGTCTGGTATTAATGTTCTGATGGAAGCTATAAACTAGCGTCCAGGTCAGAAAAAACAGAAGGGTCTGCGAACTCTCAGGATAAAACTGTGCCTTCTTGGCTCACAAGAAACACTTAGAAAGTATATTAAAGCAGTAGAAAAAAATAATCATAATGTTTTTTAAAAGCTTCATTTGAAGAATTCGAAGTATTTCTTATACTCACTGCAGAAAAAGAAAATAATACAGATTCTGAGATAATATGTATTTTGTAGTAAATTTGTAAGCCCTTTTGCAATCATCACAGCATTAAAAAAAAAAAGGTGAAAAAAGGGCAGTGTTCAGTTACTGCTGTAGCACCCCACATTGTCTCCTGCTGCTTGCCAGGTGGCCTAAAAATTGGAAAAGGACCCAAAAAAACCTTTTTGAAAGATTGTAACTTTTATCTATTCTCTGTCTCTGAAACTGCATTTTTTTTCCCCACAAATTTAACTTTTATGTGCTTTACCCTGACAAAAAGCCAATCATAAATCTTATTCCTCTCCCTTCCCCTACAGGAAGCATCTTTGCTTTTTCTGTTTCAAAGAATGTTATTTTTTCTGTAAGTTCCATGTAATACTAATCTGTTTCAGTGAAGATCATTCCCATTTCAGTGTTCTGTTTCAGCTTTGAAACTGGTTTTACGGGAGTCTTGTTGGCGTACTGTTAAGTTTTGCTTGGAAATAATTAAAGATTGAATCAGATCAGTGTTACAGCCATGGTGAGATTTTTTAAATTTAATTTTGTGCAATGCATGATCAGGCATTGAGAAAACTGTGTAGATTTCATTTAATGAAAATATTCTTGAACATGTGGAGACTTTTCTGTTGTAAATGGTGGCAAAATCACTCATTCCCCTACTTTTTGAATATTTTAGGATTGTATTGTAAAGTTTTTTAGCAATTACTGCTGGGTTTATGCAGCTTCAGTGAAGTGACAAATCGTTTTGTTTCATTACCTGTGAGCCCCCAAAGCACTAAAGTCCAGCATTTCTGTCTGTGACTGTCATGGCTGAAACGACACATTTTTGAAGGGAGTTACCACGACCTTCTGCAATATCCGTGAACACAAAAATAAGCAGTTGAACCCAGTTCTGCTACACACAGCAGTTACCTCTTAAATGAGCGAAGTTGTTTTTCCCATTTTCACTGGACGTGTGTGTTTTATCCACCGTATGCAGTCATGGCAGCTGAGTGCAAACACCGCTGAATGGTTTCGTGAACATGGCTGCAGCTCTCCTGACCTGTTCTGTCTGATCACAGAACTGCTCCATGTATTTCACACCGTTTTTCCAAGAGCACCTGGGGAACCAGGTCCCAGTTGTGACAATTCCAACCTCCTCTGAGTCAGTACGCCGAATAATAATGGTGTTGCTGTCAGTGGCAGGGGCGTGTACGTGCCATTTTGTTCAACCAACCGCAGAAGGTGACTTTCTATGAAACCACAAATGTAGAAAATAATTCTACAAGAATGAATTTATGGAGTTCTCTTCTCGTTGGTTTATATAAACTGATAATTTGACCCTGCAACATATAAATCCGTACCTGAGTTGGAAAGTTCTTTTTCAGGCCTAACCTCATTATTGTATCTCTAAATTGTCTCCTACCCAATTACTACCCTTCTCAAATTCCAAGCCACCAACAGGATGGAGTCCAAATGTCATAATGTTGGCGAAGCCAAAGTAGTGAATTTCTTTTGTAACTAAGAAATTCAGCTGAGAAGGAGAAAATACTTCTGGCCATCGTCTCACTGTGGAAAGACAGACTAGATTGGACTGAGTACAGTATTAAAATGTGATATGCACCAGCAGTTCTGAATCCAAGGATACTAAGGAGCATGTACATACATGGGGTGATCTTATTGCAGCCTTCCAGTACCTAAAGGAGCCTACAGGAAAGCTGGAGAGGGACTTTTTACAAGGGCATGTAGTGATAGGACAAGGGAAAATGGCTTTAAATTGAAAGAGGGGAGATTTACATTGGATATAAGGAAGAAATTTTTCCCTCTGAGGGTGGTGAAGCACTGGAACAGGTTGCCCAGAGAAGTTGTAGATGCCCCATCCCTGGAAGTGTTCAAGGCCAGGTTGGATGAGGCTTTGGGCAACCTGGTGTAGTGGAGGGTTTCCCTGCCCATGGCAGGGGAGTTGGAACTAGATGAGCTTTGAGTTCCCTTCCAACCCTAATTATTCTATGATTCTATGTTAGTGCCACCTACCCAAAACTTATGCAGGCACCTAACGAGTGCATACCAGGGCTTGTAAAGATACAGGTACTCAAGCTAGGTATATACTCAGGGAAGAGAGGCAGGCAGTTCCAGAGGATAGTTCGGAATGCCAGACTTGTATCCCGATGGTAAACAGAATGAGTGCTCCTGTCTCTTCCCTTCATCTTGGACACCAAATATATTTAACTGTACAATTCTGTCAGGATCAAGAAAAGGTGTAGGATCATTGGCTTTGAGGCTGAAAAGGCATTTTTTTCTTCCTGTGGCTCTTACATTAACCCATGGATTTTTCTGTGAGTTTATAAAGAGCTGATAATCCTCAAGATCTTTGCTAAATGAGGGTTACAAGTCACAGATGTGATTTAGAGCCATTAATGACTGTCTATTTGAAGTAAAACAGAGTAAGATAAGGCTTTTTTAAGTACATTTGGAACTTTTTTTTTAGATGATTTCCTGATGTGTTTTCCTAACATTGAATATCGAAGTGCACGCTTCTGATAATGTTTCTACATTTCTGGAGTTTCCATGCTCTCCTTTGCTCTCGTTTTAGGAAAGCAGTGTATGGGGCTTGTGGATCTGGATCGGGCATGGGCTGCAGAAGAACGCAACTACTCTGTCCAAGTTATATCTATGGAGCCAGAGAGTTGTTCTCCAAAGAACAATATGTTTGTGGGCATCCCTACTTAGGATGTGAAACTTGCATTTGATTTGAAGTTGAACATAAATCTTCGGTGCATAATGACATCCAGCAGATAGAAGCATAGCTGGGAACCAGACATCACGCATCTTGAACCCATTGCATTCGGAAATGGAAGCAGCACAAAAAGTCTTAGAAAGTGAACTGCATGCAGAGCATCACAAATCGTGCTTATAATGTGTCATTCAGCAGCTTTTGGTTCTCTTACTGAGAAGTTTCTGGATCTGACAACTGTGCATGGAATGATAACCATCTGTAAAGGTTTAGAAAAAAAGTTGATTTCATTGAAGGAAAGGTGATTTCCTTTTTAGTAAAGCTGTTTTGGCTGCTTCAAAATTGCTTTCATGGTCAAAACTGCGTTTGTGTTCATAAGCAGAGCAGTTATCATCCAATAATGCAGATCACTAGAGGAACAGAAAAGATCAAATTTATGGTGTTGATGAAGAAGGCTGTGCAACAAGTGGTGACTTGACTTTGCTACTACTGTAGGAAGATTATTTTTAATAAAAGCTCATCAGGATACTTCGGGCATTGTTCTGCTTCTCAAAAGTCTATTCTAACTTACCAGTCTTTTAAAAAAGGCTTAAAAATTATCTTTAAATATTACGCAAGGATTCTGTAACCAGGCATTTGAAAGTGTGTTTAGTTAAAGAAAGCAGACCTCTAATTATACGTTGACCAGATAACAGGAGCTAGTGATGATGTCAGTGAATGGATACTTCACTGCCACCTCTGCTAATTGAAGTGTATTGCTTCCCATTCTTCAGAAACTTACCGTCAGAAGAAATTTTTAAGGACAGTTCGTGTGTCTACATACATCATCTTCATTGATTTTATGTTCAGTTTAAAATTTGAAAAAAGATGTAGTTGTGGAACGATTTGAGAAGATCAACCACAGTCATGTTACTGTAAAATGAAAATAAATATTCTGTGCTCTGATTAGTAGAAAGTTTTCTACCCTTATTTAAAATAATCTGTTGACACTAATAGAATGGAAAATAGCTCCTAACGAGATTTTTTCCTGCATGTTTATGGCTTTGATATGTTTACAAATTCTGCCATAGATTAATTTAAATATATCTGGTTTGGTCAGTCTGAACATACCTTCATTGCGTGTGGCAAGCAATTACAAACAATCAGTATTGGACGGAATAAAGGGATCCTGAAATATTTTATTCTTCGTTAAACTTATATCTCTAGAAGATCTAAATACTTGGTAGGTTTTAATGTGAAGATGGAAGGAAGCTGCACACTTATTTGGAAACACAAAGATGAGCAAGTAGGTATGAATTCATACCTTTAGCCTGAGTTCTTTGGTAGGTAATGACAGAGTCCTTTTTCTGAAACTTTTTATAGTTGCAGTAGCAGCTGGATTTTGGAAGCCTATATAGGAAATATAAAATATATGGCAATACCAATTGCCTCTAGGATTTTATCTCATACTTGCCCAAGGAGGATGTGGTTTTTAAGATAGCAGTGTGTCAAGCTTACCTTAAATTACTTTATATGGAACTCCAGATACTGTGTCTGGAGTGAGAAAATGTCTCTTCGTTGCCTTTTTGTGCTGAAGGAAGAACTCATCAAGGTGAGACACCTGATGCAAGCTTTGATGCTGTTTACCATAAGGATTTTCACAATGTTCTGCTCCAGGCAATGGGTACCAATATGAGTGGGTTAATTATGGTGATGTTGAATATTTGGCACGGTCTCATACTATGCAATAATAAATAGCTTTCAGGAGAGCAAACACCTGTGCTGTTACATGCTTCAAGATTTCTACAATATCTGTCTCAATAATCTGTAATAGTTTTCGGATCTACGAGAAAACGGAGAAGGAATGCATTTGGGACTTTCTATAGGGAGCATGTGTGCCACTGAATAAAAGATAAAAATGGCTTTTTTAGCAGGCCAGACCAGTATTTGGTTGAAACAGAGACGGAGAAGAAGCCTTATTTGGACAAATGTCCAAGAGGTTGTTAGCACAGTCATAGCTAAAGTAGCTAAAGTCACCCAAGAATCCAAATACCAATCTCTGTTCATTTGTTGTGTTTTTTTTTGTTTTTCTTTGAAGTACCTGTTTTTATGTTGATGCTGCAGTTTCCCACAAGTGTTACTTATTTGTGACTTAAGTAAATTATTTTATGTCTGCCACTCCACACAGAACTCGGCTTCACAGGAAGAAAACATTTATAAGAGCAAAGGAGAAAACTCGCAAAACTGGTGCTCTGTTTATACACATCATGACATCCCATTTTTCTTGGATGGGCCAGACTATAGAAAGTGAGTTTGTGACAGACTGGGCTTTTTTTCCAGAGATCAGGGATATTTTGATGGCATCTCTTAGTATCTGTCACCTTGATGGCTTACAGTGAGACTGCATCCCACTTGGAATACTGCTTTGTGAGCTTGTCACTATGGGCATCAATGGGCCCTGGTTTCTTTTCTGCTCAGGAGAACAGAAACCTCCTCAAGTCTAAGGATGGAGTTACCTTACTATGAATAGTAAAGCCTGAACTATACTTGAGGTGAACTGATGTTTTGTTTATTGAAAAGTGAAGAGAAGCAGATGGAAAAAAACCATAAAAAGAAGAAGATATTTTCAACAGTCGGTAACAGCTGATTTACCACAGATTAAATTGCCGCTCTGTGTCGTGTACTTGCCTCTAGAAATGTGAGCTCAGTTATAGGAATTTTTAGGCCTGTTAATTTGTCACATGTTTCCATATCCATAAGTGGTATGGAATCAATAGGACCTAGAATTTCCTAAGCAAGGTGACTGGACATCACGGTCCTGGTAAGTGAACTACTGTTGTCCTTCTAGCAGCTTGTTATGCCAGGAGCCAGCTTAATGTCCAAGATGCAAACCTAAATACTATTTGTGTTTCTTATGTGTCTGGCCCCACTGGGACCAACTGCAGTGTGAAAAAATGTTGTCCTAACATAGTCATAACTTTCCATTGTCTTGCCAGTTGTCTTTTATGTTACCCTTGTAGCCAGTAATGCTGAAAAAAGTAAGTTCATAACAGGAAACTGATGACCAAACTGAACTGAGCTCCTCTATGTGTTAGTTAGTCATCTATGTGCACATGTATCTTTATTTTTGTTTTCATTTTTTGTGTTAATTATCTGCTTCCTCAGTCCTATTTCAAGAGATGTTAGTATTGCCATATTTAGGCAGGGGTAGTAATAAACAAGGGACATTCCTAGTAGGTACATCGTGCCCCCTAATTTTTCTGTGTCTTGATCTTCACAAAAAAAAAGAGATGTTAGTGTTGCACTGCTAAACCAATCTATTGATTTATTATTTTTTTTAACAAAAATTACACATGTTGTCAAAATTAGATCGTTCTTGCAGACACACGTGTAGAATGATTCATCATAAGGCTGCCGCAGAGTTTAGACGGATGTTTTCTGTTTCTGCTTGACTTTCAGCTACCTGGCACATCTGTCATTTGAAAAGGCAATGATAATAAGCAGAAGTATTTTTTTAAATAGCTGTCTTCCTAGGTGACATGCTATGCCAGGTGTCCTCATTGAAAAGAACAATTAAAAAACCCATATGGTCAAGTAGGTACACATATAAATTTGAGCTTTAAGTAGTCTGCAGTGAAATGGCACACAGCTGATTTTATAATGGGTTTATATGGATATTAATTTGGATAGACACCATCAGCTGCAGCTATTTTCTGTCAGATTTTGGTTTAGGATTAGTAATTTACCCTTTCAATGAATGTATCTATTTATTATTTTTTTTTTAAAGTATGGAGCTAGAAAAACATTGCTTAACAAAAAGTAGTAGAACAGCTGAAGCGTTGGTTTCAGTGTTGGTGCTTAGTTACTGAGTTGTCACCAGAAAGAAAAGCACATTTTTTCCTTTAAGCCTGTTCAGGTTTTACTTTCAGTGTTTCTGCCTGGGAATGTTTGCCTGTCGTACCAAACTCCTGATGTACAATCTCAGTCTAGGTTCCTGTCATTTTATTACTACTTTTTTTTTTTCTTTTTGTAAAGGGAAAACCTAGGCATCATACGTGTTCCTATCTATATGTCTAGTGTCAAAAATGATACTTACATGCCTCTTTAATAAAATGAAGAAAAACTCAGAACTTTCTGGGCTTAGACTTGTACTTAAACCACCTGTTTAAATTCAATTTCCAAAGTTAATAATATATTAAGATTATATGCAAACACTAACGCTGAAACTAAGTTCGTTTTCTCTTTACTTGTAGCTTTTATTTACTCAGAAATGGTAAATGAGTAATGAAATGTCCTGCTCTGCACTGTTCTCCTCAAAGTGAATTTAAGAAAATACCTGTATTTTCGAGATTCCCCTAATTAGCTTCACATGTGATGAAAAGTGTTTAGGATAATAAATCACTCGGGTAATTTCTGAGTGAAAACAGAACAGGTTTTAAACTTTGTATGTGTCAGGTGGTGTATTTCCTAACTTGTAACTCAAAATCATTTTAATATTTGAATTTTTTGCGTAGTCATTTTTTAAAGACACTAGTGGAACTGTTCATTTTTTAGGAAATGAGTGATATTATTTGAGTGTTCTCGTTATTTAAGTAATCACTTATTCTAGGAATTAAATTGTCGACTAATTCTATGCTTTTCCCTCTTCAAACTCTATTTTACCTGATTGTTGCTGATCTTTCATAACTTTACTTAGCATCAGCTGTGATGGAGTCCTTGAAACAGGTTTACTAAATGATACAGTTTTACTAATATTGAATATGACTACTAATTTCAGTGGTAATAATTTTTTTAAATGTTTTCCAGTATCATTGAGAAATGTGAACCTGTTGTTTGAATTGAAATGTATTTTTATTGCTTCAGCAGTTTTACTGCCACATTCCTTGTGATAAATTTGTCATTTTTTCTTGAGTGAAAGATTTCCCTTGAGCTTTAAGAATTAGAAGAGGGTTGAAATCATGGCTGCACCAAAGATGGCAAGCTCTCTGTGATACCGAGGACAAGAGGTTTTCAGCCACTGACTTTCCAGTCCGTGAAACATCACTTTTTAATTATTTTTGTGTACTGAGCTCCTTCTATGTTTAGACTCCATTGTTGTGGGTATTTGAAAAGTTTTCAGGGGCTTCTATTTTAAAAACATCTGAGTTAGCTCCATGTGTGTAAATACTGATCTTTTTGAGGGTGTTAAATTGATCTTTTGAGAGGTTGAGTGAGACTCGGCTAATAGAATCTGTAATACCGTATTGGAGTTGTGACCTCCTGATGAAAAGCTCTTGAACTGTTTTATATATATCGGGCTTGAACAATGGCAGAAATCTTCTGCAGTTCTCTAGGTTGCTACAGTAGACGTGCACGCAGCAGAATGGAAAATGGGCATGGAATGCAGAGCTAGAATGGAAAATGCCCAGAGTGAGCTCTTTGTGCTTTCCCAGAGAGATACAACTGGTAGGTGCTGATGAAGCAGACATGCAAGTGAGATGGGTCACGGTGTTTGTAAGTACCAAAGCGTAACAGTGCAGTGATGGCCCGGAGTGGTGTGCCACATGTGC